CTACTTCTTGAAACATGACAATTCTGAAGTTGATTAAACCGCATTTCGAATTCTGTTGGAGGTAATTAAATTGAATTTCACTGTACGATCAAAACACGGCTGAAAAATAACAAGACAAGTAACAATTCCATTAGGGTACAACACAGAAAAAATCAAAGTACGTTTAGACAGCAAAACAAACACTAGATGAGGGAACTCGCATCCTTCCGTTTACAGGCAAAATTTAAATCACTTTTTTCAGGATATTTTTAATTACAAGTTGCCGTATTGTTTACTCGTGCCGTTAAAGGTAAACATGCAAACCTTTGTTAAACATGTCTATTACATAAACTTTCGATCCCAACAACGTAAGAGAAAAATAAAATAAGCCATCACTAACCGAATAAATCTGTCTTCATTTTATATTATCACACTTTCTACGCTTAATATCGATCATTAGTGGCAACCTATACACAAATCTCATTAGTGATAAATCAAGGTGCGAAAAAGGGTTGCTTTAGTTGCCTCATGGTACGCATTACCAAGTATATTCAGAACATTTTTTGTTGCAACGTATTTTAAAACTGCTAATAATCCGACAGAGCTGATAAACAACAACGAGAATATTTGTCAGGTCAACCTCTCCTTTTTTCAAACATTTTCATATCTGCAGGACTGTAACTAAATCTGTTGAATCAAAAATTACAACTACAAATCGTAAAAGAAAACTCCATCGATAAAAGCCACTTCTGAATATTGCCGTATACTATGTCAAAACAACAAGTGTGCCTGGAGGTAAAATAATTTTTAAAAATGTTGTATTACCTTAAATGTTCTCATGAATACAAATTACAGTTCCTGCAATCATGTTCAATAACAATGAATTTCGCTTGCAGCGCTTGCAATGAGATCGCAACTTGCTAATTAAAAATGGATGTGTTACCGAGCCATATTGTGTAAAAGGGTTCTCTGGTTATGAATTTTCAAAGTCATAAGCTTTCTGCCTTCTGCCTAAAGCCTTTAAAAACGAAACTGTAAAAACAGGAGATGAAAAATATATGCGAAACGAAAAAGTGAAAAATGTAAAACGGTGTAAAATGTAGAAAAATGTACTAATATCAAAGAGTAAAGTATTATTTTGGCAACGACTTGCTTCGTTCGTGTGGGCAGTATGCAGAAATTATAAAGTTTTTCGATCTCAAATTAAAAGTTTAGCATGAATCAATTCGAATTGTTGTTAGATCATGCGTGGGCTAATATATCAAAACCTCTTTGTATGTTAACGTTTTTAGATTCGGGTTGTGTTCTTTTTACGTAGAAAATACCCTCCGGTTTTGCCAATATATATAGCTACTTGGACAGTCTGCACAAGGAATTCTATATTTATTTATTTTATATACCAAATAAATTTGGAGATCAAAGAGAAAGGAATACTTGTAAAGAGGTCTTGTAAGTTTTGGCGACAACAGTGATTTCGCTCTTTCGACGAAGACGTATAAGTGGTTTTGTGACACCACGAACATAAGGAAGACTGAAGCTGTGCCGGAGGCTTTATTTTCAGTCAAACTGAAGAACATGCCTGGCTAGTAATTCTTCCGGTGACGGTTTAATTAAGTCAGTTCCGGACTTTTTTTTTTTTCTCAAAGATGCTGGAGATTTGATCAGATGAGTAGTCAATAGCGTGTAAGACGTTGGTAACATAGCTTCTATTTTAGCATGAAAACGCACGTAGACTTCGACGGAGACAAGCGACAGCCAGAACGACGTCTGTGTTCGGCCACTTCTATCTAGATTGATGTATAAGATGATAAGATGGGATTAAAAGTTAGAGGATCGTGATTAGCAAGGGGAATAATTTGATAGTCTCTTATGATCCCACGAAATTGCAAGAGAGCCAACCTGAGTAAAAAAACTCAGCTTTAGAAAGTCTGTAAGTCTTTAAATAGCCCGTTCCAGGCTCTCTGTCAGTCCTGGAGACGATAGAAAAAGCGGGCGGTCGACGAGCGGGATCCGATATCCCTTTTTCTCTCCCAGACCCTGCTCGTTACCCACCCACTTTTTCGATCGTCCCCACTGACCGAGAGCCTGAAACAGACTATATTTTAAAATTTATTTTTACTCAACATGTTTAAAGTTAATGATATCATATAAAGGCATTGAAATAAACAAACACAAAACCCGTTTGAGATTTGTTAATAATTTAGCCCATATACAGTTTTGTCATTTTAAAACAACAATTTACTCTTACCGTTGTGACTACTTTTGAATACAATTTTAGTATATCTTAAATCACTTTAAACATGTTTAACTACGCCCTTTAAGAAGAGTCCAGATCCCCTGTTCCCTTGTTTTTTAGATTAATCGTTTGAAAAAAAAAAAATCTTCATAAGAGGACTGTAACAGGCCATTTCAGAGTTACCATGTGCCTCTGTTTCAAAACGATTCTTCGTGCAAAACCTTTCATCTGAAAATGAGTTTGATTTGCATGAAAATGAACCTGTAGGCGGAACACATTTTCATATTAATGGTTTCCCACGAAGACTCATTTTGAACGCTATAGACACAAGGGAAATAGCCCGATTCGAACTTGAAATAATTCTTAGTTAATGGTTGTAATCACTTTGCAAAGAATTTGATTTACTTCATACAGACAGGAAAAGTGAAACTCTCGAGGGCGATTACTTAAACGAATTTGAATCTTTCTTGCAGTTGAACTGAGGTTCACATAGGAGTCCGAACCACCTGGCTAAGCAATTATAATGTGCTTGTACCAGAGTAACAATTTATATCGTTTAGGGAAGTGAGAAAATAAGTAAGCCGGTAAACCCGGGTTGCCGGGTTTTATTTTAAGTGTCTCCTGAGGACTGTAAGCGATTTGCTTCAGAATCAGGTTGGTTAAAAGCCAATCCATCTATTATTTAATTAACACCATAGAAGTTTGTTTCGGTTTTCCATATAACTAAGTTTAACGTCTGTTACAGGTTGACTCTCATACTAGCACATTTCTTATGCAATCAGCGGATGCTCTCGAATCCGTTACGTTCATGAAAACTACTGAAGCAATTTCCTCGATTTCTAAAGACACGGTTTTATGGTGGATGCCGAGCAAGCCTAAAAGGAGATTCTTCCGTGTTAGGCTATTTGTTGACCAGCTCCTTGGTTAAGAATGTACAGTTTGATTTGATTGGTTTAACAGACAGTCATAAGATGAATTTTAAACTAAGGGATCTGGCTCTTAAATCCTAAAGTCACTTTTTGTTATTTATTCCAGACATAAAAGGCGTTTTTTATATTCTGCATGGAGGTACTCAGTCCCGCTACTTCAGGAAAATTTCGCAGCAATACTTTCTTCATGGTGGAGCTCTCAACCCAATCCAGCCCTTCTTTAGTGTAGTACTCTTCTTTGTAATCAATAGTCAAAAACCTGTTCGAGAGACGAAGAGCGTGGTCTACATGTTAGTTATTTCAATGGGCCCTATGCACGACCCCGTCACATGGTACAAACAGTGAGACTTGACTGGTGCGAGTTGCTAGCTCTGTTTCGGAAGTCTGCGTCGGGTTGCATCCCAGCATGGCTGATTTCTTACCATGAGACCGTGTAGTGCAAAGGGCTTATCGCAAGCAAGCTCATGGGTCAAGGATCGCGTATCTTGAAGAAGAGTTAAGCTTGAATTTTTCAATCACAAAAAAAAGTTTGTT